CTTACGAACTTATAGAAAGCAGAGAATATAGCAACGAGGTATTTTGGCAGAGAGATACCCCCAGCTCTGCTATGTGCCTACCTTACAAGAATTGCTCTTGGCTTCTCAGCCATGAACAGGAGAAGCACTATCCCCCTTTAGTAGCAAAGGTCAGCCCAGCCACTGACCACACCACAAACAGATCTTGCTCCATGCCCATAAACCCAGCGAAATCAGGGCTGGCTGGCTGCGCGGAGCAAGTGTCAGCAGCCCAGCTCTCCCCAGCAGGTGCCCTGCCACCAGGGCAGAGGGAAGATGCAGTGGGTTTGCACCAACCTGGCACGGGGGCAGCCCAGGGAACTGACCCACACCTTGCAGATGAGCAGCACCCCCAGATTAGCAAGCACCCGATGACTGCTTGTTAATGACCTGTGTCACCCTCATGAGACAAGCTGTGGTATTCCACGCTCATTACACTGCCCAAAACATACTGAGTGTGCTCTGAAGTCTTTTGATTTCCCTCCCCCAATGAAGAGTGGGTCCAAGAGAGGGCAGACTACAGCCCCAACACTGAGGTTAAGGAGGTCACCACCCAAACAAAACTTTTTTGAGAAGAAACACTGGAAGGTCTCAGCTTGGCAATGAGAACATAACTGCTGCAAGGCTCTGAGAAAGGCAGAAGCAGCTCTGTATCCAGCCTCCCCAAGTGGCACTAAGATGCTTGGGAAAACACTGTGAGAAACAGGGTATACACAGAGCAACCCTTCTCCTGGTATTCCCTCCTGGCTTCTGGTAGGGAAGACAAGCCTGTAACCTGTTCAAAAGGCTCGCGCCTTGATGAAGAACCTGTCCTCGACCACAGTAACAAGTCTTAGCAGGCCCACTGCGACCAACCGTAACAGCTCAATCTTTCCCATACTGATGAGCATAAATACCCATGCACATCCTCAGGTGGGCTATCACCTTCTAAGGACTACGGTGGCTCCACCATGGGACAGTGACTGCAGCCCCAGCATTAGGACTCAATCAGAAATCCACCACAAGAAGCAGGAAGCATTTAATAATCCCAGGAAGCAATGAGGCATGCAAAGTACCAGGATCACAATGGGACATTGCACTGCTCTAAAACCCAAAAGGCATCGACCTAGGATCCCATGGGAAGCTGGGACTACCAGACAAGCGCTGCCTCTTACCTGTTCTCCAGCAGCGTCATGCAGACGACCTCCCGCACGCCCGGGTTGTTGGCCTTCTCAACGGAGCAGCTCTGCAGGTTCCAGGTGGCCACCCTCAGCACGGGTCTGCCGTCCCTCAGCCCCCCGAACATCTCCACCGACGGGCGAGTGGAGATGATCTGGGTTGGGCCCCCGGGGGGAAAATCCAAGTCCTCGCTCTGGAGGCTTAGTGAAGTGGGGCTGGGATGAGGCTTGGCCGTGAAGTTGAGGCCACCATTGGTGTTTGTCGAAGGGGGCCGGGACCTCTCTGCAAAAATCTGATGCCTGATTTTGTCTAGGAAGGAGGAGTTGATGCAGTTCATCCTCACCAGGTCCTCGATACTTTTGAAGGGCCCATGCTCCTTCCGGTAGTCCACGATGCTGTTGGCAATCTTCTCCGTGATGCCGCGGATGCTCATGAGCTGTGCCGGTGTAGCGGTGTTGATGTTGATCTTGGTGGCGGACAGGTGGTGCTCAGAGGCCGGGTCCTTCCGCAGGGAGCTGGGCGAGTGCTGCGCCGAGCTGCCCTTGCTGCTCACGCAGATCTCGAACTTGACCTGCTCCAACTTGGCCGCCCCAACCCCGCTGACCAGCGCCAGGTCCTCCACCTTCTTGAAGCCGCCGATGTACTCGCGGTACTCCACGATGTTCTGGGCCACCACCCGGGTGACCCCGGGCAGGGTCATCAGCTCCTCCTCCGTGGCCGTGTTGATGTTGAGCCTCTCCTGGTTGACCAGGATGTTGCTGAAGTTGCACGCCGCGCTGAACTTGCGGCTGTGGCACAGGTCGCCGGGGTCCCGGGGGATGGAGCGGTGGCAGCCCAGGTTGCCCCCCATCTCACTGCCACTACCACACCGCCGAGCTACCCAAGCCGAGGGGGGCTGCAAGCCCGGGACTCATGGACCCCACGGGTGCCTGGATGGTGGGGGACAGACCCCAAAACGCTCGGTCAGCAACCACAGAGTACTCCCGCACCCTTCTTCTTCTTCCTCCTCTTCCTCCTGCGGGTCCACCAGCCGCCCGCTGTCTGTCCGCCGGTCAGCGGGGAGAGGCGGCCGCGCTGCCCCGACCGAGCTGCCCCCGCCTCCCTGCCCGCCCCAGCCCCGCAGCCCCCGCCGGCTCCTACCGCTGCCCGGCCCCGCCGGCGGTTGTAGGAGCTTGGCGGCAGCGCCCGCCCCTCAGCCGGCCCAGGCGGGGCCTGGCAGCACCACCGCCTCCATCCCCGCCTCCCCGGGCGCAGGAGGGGGGACAGGCGGTCCCCGCTGCGGCCTGGCCGCCGTGGGCCGTCCCCGAGCACCCTCCGTGCACTTAGCCACCCCCTGGGGCACCCCGTGAAGGCTCAGACCCAGCCCCGCAGCTGGAGGGGCAAGAGTTAGTTAATTATCTCCACAGGTTTTGGTTTGCTTCACGCAGTTGCATGTCTTGGTGGTGGTGGTTCAGATTTGGGGGCACAGCTCGAGCCCTCGGGACAGTGATCCCCCCTCAATAAGTTAGCCTATCTGCCTCAGCCCACCAGCCCTGGTGCACACCCAGCCTCTCCCTGGCACACAGCACCACTGCCCCGCCTTGAAATCCTTGCTGCTTATTGCCCGTGTGCCTCAGATGGTGTTAAAGAACCTCATTCGTGTCCCAAAAGCTGCAGCAGCCCACTGCAGTCAGTGTTGGTAAAGGCACCGAGGTGTTTATCTGGCTTCTGTTGCACCAAGCCCCATGCTGGGCTGGCTGCAGTGCTATCTGGAGCCAAATGAGCTCACTCCAAACCAGCTCGACCATGCCCACACAGAAGTGACTGCAATGTCAATGAATCCTAAATATAATCGGTGGGTGTAATTGCAAGGAAGGGGGAGGACAATTGAAGGAAGGAGCAACATATGCTTGCAGGTGCCAGCTACGCACCCCAATGCTGACAGTTCACATACGTTTCGTTTATCCAGCCAGAACACGGTGCGTGAGCATTTTCAACATCAAGGCTCTGGACTGGCCCTCACAAAAAGCTAATCAGCTTGCAATAGCGGCTTATGTATGCATTTTCCATGGTAAATTAATGGAAATTATTTGGGTTCACCTGAAATAAAAAGCTGAATTTGTGTAGCTTCTTGATTAAAGGGAAGGGGAATGTGATGCGAATTAGGAAGCACAGGCTGCACCAGACTTTTAGCTTGCACATGGGCACTGCTGCTGTGACATTTGCACTAGATATTCTGCTGCAGATCGCACATTTCTCTTCTCCCTGCCCAAGCTTTAGAGTTAGCAAATTATCATTACTGGAATAGGTACTTGCTGCATTAGGGCACTGGCTCTTTGCTGACTGCTGGAGCGGTGAAAGTGCTCGCTTAGGTGATTAAATGCTTCCATGTCTACTGGAAAGTGCTCTGTGCACTGCAATAACAGTGGCCAATGCAGCAGAAGTCATGCTGGGCCTAATTCTGCTGGAATGATACTAGCACAGAGCTGGAAACAATTAACCACTCATCTGAGTATTCTTTGCGAGGCAATATTATTACTGTAATAGCTCCAGAAGCTGTTATCTCAATACTTTTATCTCAATAATATCTCAATACTATTATCTCAATAATACACACTCTTCTGCTTTCTACCATAGGTTGGTTAGAATTGATTCAGGCTCATTAAATAAGTTTTGAAGCTGAAAAGCACCAAAATCCATTTGAGGTGTACCCCCATGACTACAGGCAGCGCCAGCTTTTCTGCATCTCAGACAAAAGGCAGGAGCATCTCCAGAAAGATGACAGGCATCACTCCTGTCCAGCATTTTCTATTGTCAGCAACTACTCAACACTTTTTGCATCTGCAGCATGAAGATAATATGCAAGGCTGGACACAGCTGCAGTCTGGATGAGGATGCAGAGCTCAGGGTTATGCAGTGGGTGTCCCATCACCTAACCCAGAGTATGACCTACACTAATGGGGATGCAACAGTGAGGAGGGGGAATATCACTCCATTAGCCCTTTACCCTGATTCTTTTTGGCAAGACTATGAAAAGGAGAGTTGCAGGGAGTTTACTGAGCTTTGAGTCAACTTATGACACGTCTTGGTATTCTCAGAAAAGTGCCAAAAGGTGTGAAAATGTACAGCTTTGGTCTGTATTTTAAAAGGTTAAAAAAAAAAAAGTACTGTCTTGACATCGGTGTTAAGCAATCCATTACCATGAGAGAACTAACAACAAGGTGTAGCCAGTAAATGATTGAAAAAACAATGGCAAAAATTACTGACAGCCAGTGCATGCACAGAAAATAGCTCTTGTGAAACAAGGGTAGATATTACGGTTTATCTTCAACCCAATCACAAGCTCAATGATTTATTATGATCTGCAGGTACACAGTGGCAGGCAGGGAGCCTCCCCTGGGCTGCTTACCACTTCATGTGACAAGAAGCCACAAATCTGGGTTTCCTGGACCTCTGTCAGCCCAAACAGGTTATAGGGCTCCAAGACGCCATGGGTGGCTTATTCCTCAGGATCTGCAGCTTATTGACAACCAAGCAGCTGGCTGCCCACCAAGGCTGGCTTAAAAGCTTCTCAGCGCAGGCAAAATGAAGTTTTGCCATGGTGAGGATGTGAAGCTGAGGAGCACCTTGAAGGGCCAGGTGGGCTTCCACAGTGAGAGGACAAGGAAGGACCCCCCTCAAAAGGCCCTTGCTAGCAACCATCAGCCATCCTATGTAGTGCTTTCGTATATCAGTATGAAGCACAGTAAAGTGGGTAGTGAGGAAGTAACTATTTTATCACAGCCCAACAGCCGTTTGTAAAAGGAAAGAAGAAAACAAACTAAACTTATTGATGAGAAGGAATTTCTCCAACACCTTCAAATTAAATGTTTAAGAAGGATATGGAATTGCCTAAACCCATAGCGATGGAGTGGATGAAGATATTGCTGATGCAGATGCTGCTGAGCAATGTCTTATGACTGAAGTCATACAAAGAGTCAGCCTGGAGGGCACTACATTTTTAAGGCTTAACTTCTCAAGATTTTAAGATGGCCTTAAAATCTATCTTCATATTTTCCAAGATGCATCATCTATGTTGCAGAGACTCTGAACCAATAAGATGTTCCATGAAGGACAGAAGGAGCCAGGAGGTGTTGCTCAAGAGAATACCACAAAGTTCGACTTCAGTCTTCAGGCCACAGCTGCGATTCCTACCAGCCTGCCATGTGATAGTAGTGCCTTTCCCAGCTCATGCTCACACAGCCTTTGGGAGTCAGGGGCTTGGCACTGCAGAGTGGTCATGCATCACAGACCTCAAAGGAGAATCACACGTGGATGGCTGTTACCGGGCTGTTCCAAGTATAAGTTGTTTGCATGTGTTACCCTTTTTAACAGGTTTCCTTCTCGTGGAAAGAAAAGGTGCCCAGGAGGAAGAGCACTTGCAATGGGATCATTCCTACTGCAGACTCCTCTACTGGAATTCTCTAAAATGCCACAGCCCCACTCAGCGGGTGGAGGTTACAGGGCCTGGGCTCCATCCAAACCCATGGAAAGAGTCCTTTTGTCTGCAGGGGAGGAGGAACTGTAACGTGCTCTCAGGAAGTCACCCAGAGAGCATGTTTTTAGACCTGCTGCACTGGGCTCTTAGCGGGCAAGGACTTGAACAGGAAACTGAATAATTGCAATATTTATATTTTTATTAAAAGGACTTATTAAAATAATTGTTTCCTTCTGAGAGTAGATCTTCATTAACACTTGTAACAGAGGCCTGAGGCAGAAAACAGACAGATTTTTTTATTAAGACAAGTGATAACAAGTAGGAGTTCGCAATTTCATGAGCAGTGGAACTTGTGAAGTCTGATTTCTGATGGCTCTTTCCTCCATTGATTTTCTGATGTATGGTAACAACATTGAATATACATCAGTCTCTCAACAGTGCCATTGATTTGGATGTCTCTGTACTATGTGGCCATTCATTTTGTGGCATTTGTAGGAACTTGGCATTTTTGAGATATTTAGCCTCTCTGTCAAATTGGCTTGAAATTAGCCCACATGCTAATAAAAACCTTGGGGAGGGAGTGACACGCAGAGCAGCAGGGAACACAATCACATGGATGTTATTTTCTTAGCCATCCAATGTCTGTGGTGTGAGCTTTTTTTCCTGTAAGACATTTTACATGGCTGCCAGACTGGTTGCAAAAAGATTAAGTGATGTCATGGGTGCCGGGTTGCCAAGTTACGGGTGTCACATCCTACAGATAAATGCTACTTCAGAAGGGCGAGCAGAAGTGACTCATCTTTATGCCTCAGTTAGGCCTTCCGTTTGGTTGCTGTTGGGTCTGAAACCCCAATCTCTCCCTCCCACAGGAGATCCTAACCACTGGCTCTTTCATTAGCGCACGGTGAAACATCCTGGAGGTAAATGAGAGCGAGCCACATCAGAGAGGACGTTCTCCTACAGAGCTTGGGATAAGATTTTCATTTTCCTTAGACAGTGGGGGAATTTCATTTTCATCCCCCACATCAGAGGTGGCACTGTTAATTACTCAGGTGCCCCTGGGGTCACAGAACCAGAAAGGAATTCGAAAATACAGGCCTTCCTTCGCCCCAGGCAGACACCAAGGCCATGTCTTATAGAAGCAGGCCTCCAGTGGTGGTGGCAACTCCTGAACTTCCCAGACTAGAGGCATGTGGACCTGTATAACAGCTAATGTTTTCTTTGAGGCCCAGTCTGGCAGACCTCTTGTAAAAATGCCCATAAATCACCATTTTGTGATTCTGGAAGGGGATGGAGACAGGATTTGTGACTTGTGATCAAGGTGTCTCAGTAGTCACCCTGGGCAAGATTTCAGTGGTTCCACTGAGAAGCAAGTGTCCAGTGGATTTTCATGAAAAAAAAAAAAAAAAAAAAAAAAAAAGTGGGCAAAAAGATTTTAGGCATCTCAAGTGCTAAGCATGTTTAATACCAGAAATAAAGATAAATATTGAAGCCTACTTCCTAATCATTTTATTATTTCACTGAAGAAATTATTATTTTGCATTGTTTATCATCTTTATCATCTATACCTTAATTGTAGGTACTTCACCTTTCTAGGTAAATGAAGAATTAAAATATTATCATCAGTTTTCTTGTTAAAAAAAAAAAAAGTGGTTAACAAAATACATTTCATGCTTACTTTTGACTTTTCAAAGACATTCATGAACACTAGTTAGTTATTTCATACAAGGAGCTTTTTAGAAGAAAGCAGTTCTGCAGCTGTTAAATTAGCTAATACAATTCTGCTCAGACTTTTACATTACACATAACTTCTGCCATTTGGGGTATTTATTTTTGTATGATTTGTTGTTGTTGTTTGCTTGTGTGTTTGTGGTTTTTTTTTGGTATAAAAACTTAATTGCTCAGTCTCTGTTTTTCTTTCACATGACTAGTTGTTCTTTAGATCCTGAAATTATTCACAGAAACAAAACTTGGACCCATATTTTTCCTTAAATATAAGGAGCAGTAAGGTCTGCATATTGTTTGCTTGTGCTAAGATTCGTTTGTTTTCTGTCTCTTCATGTGTAAATTTCTGCTTGTTAAGGTAAAAGAAACAAACAAACAAAAAACACAAAGTATAGTGTTTTGTTTTTTTTTAATCATTTTTTCCCTCAGCCAGAGTCTCAGATGAGACCTATAGAGGATGGAGCTCCAGTATAAATCCATAGCTCTGTTAGGATCAGGTCATTTGTTTATGAAATGAATATAAGATCTTTTGTTTAAGACTTTTCTCATAAACATAGCATCTTTCTCACATTAAAATCTTTTTTGTTCTCTGCACTACTCTCTTGAGAAAGTCTCTCACATTTCAAGTTCTGCACCAACAATTAAAATGGTTTCATGACCTCAGCCACTCCCAGTAGACTTTGAACTTCTCTGGGGAACCTCCCAAACAAGCGACACCTAGCTGCATAATCATTACAACATCTTCCGGGAAGGTTTGATCTAATTCCCATAGGAGAAAGGCAGAGGAAGGATACCCAGAATGATTCAAAACAATGCCTGCTGTTTTACCCGAGCAGGTTGAATGTGCTTTTGGTCAAATTAACTGGCATAGTTGTCCACATGAAAGTCAGGCTTGTTCAAATGAAAATGTAGAGGAGGTAGGAAAGCAGAACCATATAGAGGTCTTCCTCTAGAATCGGGCCATAGAGGATGGCTACTTAGAGGAGACAGGTATCCTCAGATCAGCAGCAGCTGGTGGAATTTACAGCAGAGCATCTATGTAGCTAGTGTGAGCTGAACCACTGAAGGACAGGCAAGTCCTTAAGCACCTAGAGCTGAACAGCACTGATCTATTTCAAACAGAAAATGAAGGCTCTATTAAACCTGACTTTGATCCCTAGAAAGATCCTGGTACAAATAATCATTGTAAGTATGTTAGGTGGTCAAAAAAATAAAAGCAGCATGGCTTTACCAAGCTCACTTTTTTTCTTTGACAGGGCAACTGGCTTGAGGGACTGGACAGAAACAGCAGATTGATGGTAGGGGATGAAAGTATACTTACAAAGTTTGTGGGTGGCACCAGGCTGGATGGCCTGCAAGGACTTTGGCAGGTGGGGTCAAATTTCCAAGTAGTCTTCACAGATCAGAGGGATGTTCCAGAACTGATAAGATGAGCTTTGGCAGAGACCTAGGGAAGAAAAAAACACAGCATCCATGCAAACTGAGGAATAACTGAGCCACAGATGGGTCAGGAAAGGCTCACAGTATAAACAGGAATCATCAGTGTATCCTACTGGGTAGAGACCAAAGGCTGTTTCTAGCTGATCTCATTAATCCTGATGACATGATTAGGAAGATAGCTATGCAATGACACAATTACAGTCAAAAACATGATGCTTAGAGCCATCATACCAAAGAATTGATGAATTACTAACTGCCAGATGTTGTACAAGTCACAAAAAACAAATGGCTCCTCCAAAACAAATCCCACAGCCCTCAAGATTTTACTATTTCAAGCCTAGTTGCTGGTTGTCGCTGATGCCGAGTAATATATACTCTGGTAAACAGCCTAATTGAAATCACAGGGACTGTGAAGTACTGTTGAACACAAGAAAAACTTGATGAACGTAGCCTGAGATGAGGAGTTTGCTGGCTAAATATGGGCTTAAATTACATAGGATGTCACGGTGTTCTTTTTACAGTGCATGACGTTATCAGTGAGGTCACACCCAGAGCTCCAATCCTTTTTCTAGCCAAGCATTACCTGTTTTAGACAGGCTTTTCCAAAGTTTGCAGAGCCATGAGAGAAAAAAAATAGCTGCTGCCATCTTACGCAAGCTTTTGTATTATGTCAGCAACATGAGCTCCCCACACTCTGCAGGATATTCGCCTGGTGTATTTTTTAGCATGACAACATAAAAACAACACAGCAGATATTAGATAGCTGTACTTTCTACACAAACATTGCTCTGAACATTGTAGGATGTAGGTTTTTCCTTTGATGGATTTTCAGACTTTGCTGTGGTTCAGAACAGCCCCCAGAACCTCCTGCTTTAAAGACAATCTCTCTAAGTAATAAGAAATCAGCTTTAAATGTTTTCCCCAAATGTCCCAAAACAGGCAGTTGATTAATTCCAATTTCACCCTGCACAGAGCCATGTCACACACCCTTGCCACCTGGTAGGTGAGCCACATTCCTCCCCTGTTAGTCATAGAGCATGTCTGCCTTTAACCTAGCAGTGGCAGGCAATTATGGGACACAGGGGTGCTCATCCCATGATTCAGGAGACTTTCCTGTCTCCTGATGCTGCAAGGTGCCATGTGTCTCTACCTCGTCACCTTGCAAGTGACCTCGGGGGATGCTGGTGTGTCACCAGCATGACAGAGAGAAGATGGGACAGTCATTGAGCATAATAAGCTCAGAGGAATGGTTGGGCAAATGACTGTGCTTATGCTGACTAAGGCTCCATCCCAAGGGTGCCAGTTGCTGACTCTGACTGTGTTTCTCGCGTACATGTGCAGGCACATGATGCTTTGGCAACCAAACACATCTGGGAAGACAAATGCTGCTCCTTCAGTATGTATACCTATATAACATATTGCCATCCCAAACTGGATGTGAGTTCACTCTACATGCTGATATAGGGCTGAGTGCATGGTGACCTTCATGCCTGGGGCTTCAGGAGCCTCTTCTGGATACACCAATTCCCCTGGCCTATCTGACATCCAGCACCACCAGGCAGTCATCAAGCTGTCCACCGTAGCTGGATGAGTTTTACCTCTCAAACTGTCAGGTATGAGCTACTCAAACTAAGCAAACAGTAGATGTTAGGTGCAGTACAGCCTTGGTGCTGCACAGAAATGGGGTGACTGATTTTTTTTTTTTTCCCTTCAGCTTTTTCCATTGCACATCACTGTTTGCCAGCATTACTCCTAATAGCATAGGACAGTATGATTTCAGACAGCAAGGTGAAAATACAACCCGGTATAATCTCCAACTGTTTTGGAGATTATCTATCAATAGAGGTCTGCATATTTCTAATGGCTTCTGGCTCAGCTCTGGGAGGTCTTTGGACCCAGGCCTGTCATTGCATGCTGTGTATGAGGATCTGCCATCTGCACTGCCCTCACTGAATCCAACTTTCTCTAGCATCAGTATGCCTAGCTGGAGAGCAGTGGATTGCCCAACCTGAGGAAGGGTATCAGCACGTGGCTTTCACAGGTGTGTTTGAGATAGGCAGCCATGTACGCTAGCAGTTGGCAGGAACACTAAATGGCATTCACATCAATTGATCCTGATACCATCTGGCTTTCAAAGGGCTAATTCTGCCAAAGACAAACACTCAGTGGTTCTTGCTGGCTTTGCAGTAGATTGAAAAGAAATAGGGAAGGAATTTTGCTCCATCTGTATGCTTTTGTCCTCACTGCTTTTAGATAAGGTGACACAAATTTTCCAATTCAGTTTGGATGTAGGCTGGTGATTGTTTAAGGCACAATGATGACTCTGTTTCACAAGAACAAATGATGAAAGAAAGTGTTAGAAAAGATCCCTCAGATCAGTGAAGGCGCTGTAGTTTCCCCTTTCTTAAGCTTTGAATTTCATCTGGTTTTCCCAAGCGTAGGCCCTGGCAGGACTAGTTTGGGGTGCACTGCCCAGTAGAAACGTTGCACCAACTACTAAAGGATATTAAGACCTAGATGACCACTCACAGACGAGTTCCCCAAGGTGTCTGCAAGCCCCTCAGCAGTGCCAGGTGCATGCTTCCCTTTGGACTTCAGGAAGGAGTTAGAGATTCCCAGGAGATCAGGCCAGGCTTTGTGCATGGAAGCAAAAAATCAGGCCAAGAATTGATCCTACCTTAAACCAAGTGAAAGAACAAAAAACAGACAAAAGTAAAGAAATAAACAACAACAAAACAGCAACTTATATAAAAGCCAAAATAGGGGTGTCTGCCATTCTCTAGGAAGTTCCTCATACATCCTATAAAGCACGGTTTTAATTAAAATGTTCAGCAAGATCGTATCAAGTAGTTTCACTTTCTAGAACTGGAACATTTAATAAGAAGTGAACTGTAATATTGATTTAAAATTGAAAGTTGAATTAAACTTTTAAAAGAAACTTAGGAAAGGGGAATATCTGAACAAAATTTACTCTGTTAGAAAAGACATTCTTGCTAAAAGTGTCTGACAGTTGTCACAAATGTCTAACAATTGTTCTAAATTCACTGTTCAGAAAACCCTAAGGCATCTTTTAAGAATTTTGTTTTTTCCCAAAGTCTTGAAAATCTCTAATATTTGACTAATATAAGTTGTTAAAGGAACAGATGAAGAACCAGCTGAAAAGGGGTTCACCTCACTTTACTATGTCACTTTGTAGGGACAGATATTTAATATTCACATATTTTAAATCATTGGATAAAGCTCAAGGGCTGCCTACAGAGAAGATAGCCAGCTCTCTCCGTGCTGTCTTCTAAGTTGTGCACGTCTTCTCTTAACAACTCTCTTGTGTATGATGGTGTCACAAGTAGTTCCTAATCAGGCCCACTGAGAAGCAATTAAGATCCAGGACCGAGTTACCCAGCAGTTTTCTTTGCTTCCCACCTTCTGTACCACCTCCTTCCTTTCACTTGGCATACACTCCCACTCTTTATGACTGTGCTTTTTACAGCTCCTTATGTCTTGGAGCTATCAGTGGCAGCAAATCAACAGAACGGGCTGCAATGGGTAAGGGAGAGGAAGCATCAGACGGCACAAGGGCTTCTCTCAGCACCCCAGTGCCCTCGCAGTTGGGTCAGTTGTTTCTTCTCTTCTCTACTCTGCTCATAAGGCTCTGCCAGCTTGCTGGTGTGGTTTTGTCCTTTCTCACTGTGCTACTCCTACTTATTAGTATTAATAAGAGTTATTAATAACCTCTTCAAATGCGTTCCATTACAGCAGAAAATTCTGAGCAATCTTCACCCCCCCACACACACAGATATCCCCATGAGAGTGGTGCAGCCTTGGGGCAGGAGTCCAGAGAAGCTCAGAAATCTACCTGTGGAGATCTTTAAAGCCCAACCATAGATGGTCATGAGCCACCTCATGTAACTGAAGTACCCCTTTACTATAACTAGGGTATTACACTATGTGATTTCCCTTCTAACATAAAGGAAGTTCTGTAGAAGATGGTGGTCTTGGACTTGTCTTGATAGACAGAAGCAGTGGTAGAGCTTGGTGAGATGTAGACAGCACCACTATGGGAAAGAGAAGAGGTGAATAGAGGGTTGGGTGGTGTGGGACTGGTACTCTCATTTCCATTCTTGGCAGATCCTTGGGGAGAAACATCCCAATTTAATCTGATGAACTAGCTTCATCTATATTAGTTGAAAGATACTTTTGATAGTTGAAGAAGTTGGATAAAACAAACAAAAATGAACAAACCAACCCCTCATCCATTTGTTCTCAAATAATCAATGTTTCTTTTCTTTTTTTTTTTTCTTTCTGGTTCTTCAAAAATTGAGATAATGGTCTGTTAACACTGTGCAACTAAATCTGAAAGTCTTCTGTTAAAGCTTTTTGGAGATGATCCAGCAGAGAGACTCCCTAGTCAAGTAGAGTTTGTTTTGTTTTCCCTGAGAAAAGAACCTCACCCTTCTGACAGAAACATCACAGAGCTTATATTCTGCTGTCACTCTGTGTGATGCGTGGGGTTAATTTTAAGAGAGAAAAACCGAATGGCTTATTAAGAAATATCATTATTGACAACAGGAAGATTTTCCCTTAACTTATTTGTTTAAAAAGCAAAATACAGATACCATGACGGGTTCATAGTCATTGGACAACATACTGCATCAACACAGAAAGGGACAATTGCCTTGGCTTCAGGAGGCAGACCCTTTCCCCATTTGAAAGCACAGCCCAGTACAGAATACATAATACAAATAAATCTCCATCTCCCACAGTAAAAAAGATCTGCCATCTCTCAGAAGAAAAAACATCAAATACTAAAGTCACATTAAGATTCTGCTCCATACTGGATGAAACTGTCAGTTCTTCCTAGCTTGTAGTTATTGTATTTGGTAACATCAATATTAAATAATCAGATGATGACTAATTGTGTTAATAAGATAGCCCTGCAATACAATACATCATTCTGGCCAGGTTTTCAGGTTTAAAATGCCTGCAGTTTTTTCCATAGCTATGCTTTTCTGCATTTTAATGGTCACATCACAGGACATAGGTTGTGGTTTTCTGGCATCACTTTTGGATGTAGAGTTTCCAAAACTTGAGGAAACTGAAGGAAAAGAAGTGAACTCCCACACTTCTGTGAGGCTTTCTGAGTATGAAAAATGCACGCTGTGTTTGTTAGAGGCTGAAGTTGAATTAGCATTTAATTGCATTAACATTTAAAGCTTAAAAATGTCAGGAAAAGGCTGGGAAAAAAAGAAAAAGAGAGAAGAAGAAGAACTTGCTCTGCTACACTTTTCAAAGGGGCACGGCTGAGAAATAAAAAACTAACAATGAGGGATTGTAAATCATCTGCTGGGGTTCCCACCACCACCACCACACATTCTTTCTAATCAAAGCACATCAGGAATATCACAGAAGTCTTTCTTCATGCCATCTTTGTTACAGCTGGAGGTGCCATTAACTTTTTTTTTTTAAACAACTGAAAAGCTAGAGAATAAAATTAAATGCCTGAAATCACAGGTCTTGATATGTCTCAGGCTTTCCCCTTAACCCTGGAACTACTCCATTGCATATGCTACATGCAGACAATCCTGTAAAGTCAAGCCAGAAAGGAGAGAAAATGTTGAGAACCATTTGTTTCAAGATACATCATCCAGACACTGCATGATTCTGCATGCATCAAGAAAATAGCCTCCTTCACCAACCTCTCCTGCCAGCTCCCCAGTTTCTTAAAGCAATATCCATAAATTTCTGGAATTTCTGTATGGACATGAAAACAAAACGTTACTGTACTGTGAAGGCTTTTGGCATGGTCACGTATTGCATTTGAATCATTGCTTGTAACATTTTTATTTCTGGACTGTGAAATCTTGCCCACCTGACTCTTAGATTAATGTATTAATAAGATAAAGCTATATACCATAAGGCTTCTCAGATAAAAAGCTTAGCTATGAAAAGGTTTCTTCTTATCCATTTTTATCCTTGACTATGTCAGAATGAATTGTAGCATCTAACTCTTCAGCTAAAACCCCTATTCTGTGTTTGATCCTTAAAACTACTAAATAAAATAAATACTATCCTATTTGTTAATTTTAGATGAGGTGACATGCAACAGAACGAAGCACAGGCTCTGGATAACTGTCTCCTGCTGTGTGATAAATGACAGAGTACAACTGAGTAATGCAGAGGCAATTAAAATAGGAATACCCCCCCTGGAAGTTTTCACCCTATAACCCCATGACTAAGGGGACCCAAGCAACCAAGTGAATACCAACAGCTTCAGCTACGTCCACGCAGCATGCTGTTCATATATAGCCATACTGCAGAGCATGAGGGGGAATAGTCCAAATGAGGAGAACTTTGGTCTGCTTCTCTGGGAGCTGTTATTTTTGCCACAGCACAGAAGGGCCCTCCATACAGCAGCCTTCCCTTCCCTACCACCACCCATGAAGGCAGTCGAGATCATGTAGTGCAGCCAAATAAACAGGAAGACCTTTCATGAGGTGGGACATCACTACTCTCCATGCAACAGTTCTTTCAAGAAGCTGCTTATTTTGCTGTGAGTTTAGTCTCACTGGTTTTGCTGACTTAGTGATTGTACATGCACACTTAGGTGTTGGCTTTTTTTTTTTTTTTTGCTAGAAGTCATCCTCTGGCACCTATGTGCATTATGATAAATGAGCATGCAGTGGTTATGGTACCATCTTCTGGCAGAGATAGTTTGTGCTGCAGCTAGGAGAGGACAGATTAAGATAAATAGATAATTGGCTGTGATAGAGCAGGGAAAACGTGAAAACGTTAAATCTCTTACTAGCTGAAACTGTAGGGCGGGAAAGGCACTTGGCAAAGTCCATTTCAAAAGCACATACAGACGAAGTGCTAAAATAACCCTGACTCCTGGCTTAATCTCAGTTAACTAAGGTGTCATACAGTCTTAACTGTGACAGTATCTGAGTTATCTCACCAAGGCACTGGAATTAGTCATAAAACAGAACACTATAATTCATTCTGTCAAAGCTATTTTTGTTCACTCGGAGCTGTTTTTACAGACTGACATAACTGTCAATAGGTATGACAAGCCTTTATTGTGATGTTACCTTTGCAGAGCTAGAGACTTTGGCGTAGGAGAGGATGAAAGACAGGCTTCTGCCAAGCATCACGGCATAGAGAAAGCCCATCTAACCTGGGGAAATCAGGACACCATGTTCTTCTTCCTATTAAGCCAATACCAATCCCACTAAAGCTGCCTCACTGTAAGGCTGGCTCAGAGTCAGAGCCAAGGACTGGAGTGATGCTCCATGCTGGCAGTTTCCCAGAATCCAGTTCTAGACAGAAGATACGGGTAATGTGGAGACAAGGGGGAAAAAAATAGAAAGGAAGAGATTTCTGGTTTAAATATTCACTTTTTAATAAGCTCCTGTCCTACACAGCTGTCTTTTCCCTATTCCTTTTTACAGCCCCACCTGCACACCTGACCATACACAGCCACACACTTCCAGAGCACAAGGATTATCAGATATCAGCAGAATGGGATACACTCATCTATCAGAGGAGAATATATGCAATACACCACACAGCTTATCTTTACTGAGCCAACCAATACCCCAAAAGAACAAGAAGTTCTCTGTATTTCAGCATTATCAGTGGGCTCTACTAGTAATTTTTAATAGGACTTCCCATCCTTGGGATGGACTGACTTCTTGCATTACGTTTGTCATGGAAATCAATAACATGCAGCCTCATTTCACCCAACAGGCAGCTCTGGCAGGGAGGTTAAGCTACAGCTCTGTGGCCATGGAGGGCTACACACCCTACTGCTTGGCACACCAGTCTGTGTCTCAGCAAAACAACACATACATGGTACAAGACAACCAAAACAAAATAAGCTATTTACCTTGGTCTGTGCTGAAAAAGCCTTTGCAAACTGTTCCTTGCTTTGCTCTCAGAAACTGCTTGCAAGCAGCTGACAGCTGAGGCTTAAAAACCAGACTGATTAGAGATGGCCTGTGCTGAGTTAGAAAACCTGATGCTTTAAAAAAAAAAAAAAAAAAAAAAAAAAAAAAGCCAGTGAGGAGCTAGCATCCCGTTAGATACTTTCCCATAGCACCTAATGAGCTGGCTTTCAGGAGGAGCTCCTCATCTGGCTGAGGTTGCCTTGTGAGCTTTTCTGAGCAGAGATGATTCCTCTGTCAACCATTCTGCTGTGTTTAGCTCTGACAGGGTATGCTATAATGGAAATAAGAAAAAAAAAATCGATCTGTGTTGCTGGCACCAGGGGAGTTCCTTGCCCTGCAGTAAACAGGGCGATGATAATTTTCCCAGCCCTAATGGGGACCAGTGAAATGTCAAGGCTGGTAGCTGCCCTTTCCCTTCTGATGTGATGGTTAGCCCCTGGAAGGGAAACAAATTACTGAGGTGCTCCGTCTGACAGCCACTAAACACCTCATTAGGGGTGAAAACTGTATGTTCAGCATCGCCAGGTAGATCCTTACAGCAGCTGGGGTGTTGAACAGCAAGCTGCAAAGCGAGCTCCCCTGGCACACAGCACCTTTTGCTGAGGGGAAGCTTCTCCTTTAAATAACTCCAAATCCCAGGCAAATAATTGTTTCCATTCTCAGTGCTTAGCTGTACTGTTTGGGGCTGTGTAGTCTGCCTGTGTTTATAAATAACCCACTTTGTTTACCAATTATTTTAAGTATTTTCAGGAAAGGGAAGGAAGAAAACTCTGGGAATATTGCAATTGCCTGTCTGCCTGCATTAGCCCAGTAATTATTTCACTGTAATTCAATTGTTTCTTGTACTCAGTTCAAGATAAGAAGACAGCAACAGCAATAATAACTTATGAAGTTCCTCTTTCTTTTTTTTCCTCTTTCTCCAAGGCTATTCATCCCTGCCTCTGCACCACTCTCCCTCCTTGTTAATACACACATCTTGGGGGGCTTACTGCTGTGCATTGAATTGGAGTTAAAAATACTTCCTTTAAATACTTCCTTTCTTTTTCACTTTTTTTTTTTTTTTAAACCCAGATCAGCTGACATTTTTCATAGTGGTTACATGGTGAAAGCTAAATGAAATTTATCTTGTTTGATTCAAGTTAATAAAATCTGCAAACATGGTGTGACCTATTACTGAAAACTAGGATGCTTTAATACCCACATCTGTGGATACTCAAGACTGTATCAAAGCAAATGCTTTGAACTACACACCAGCTTTTGATGCTTTTTACTATAGCAGCAGAAGTAGGAGGCAGGAATGTAGATCCCAAGTGTACAAGCATTCCCATCAGAGGTAGTAATGGCCCAAAATACAGGAGTTTGGAGTTTCTGCAGAAGACCAGCTTCCTGCTGCTTGGGGCTTGAGTGGACTCACTGGGCACACTGAGCAGATAACCAGGGCTGCTCAGCAGACGCACAATGTCTGAAAGCAACCCGCTGTCTTCGTGGCTTTGCCGTGACCAGGGGTACAACCAGAGCAGCACCTCCAGGGAGCTCTTCTCCACTTTGGATTCTCCAGAGTGTCCCAACCTTCCCCTTAGTGCATACCACGAGGCCCTGCAGGTGGTGAAGGCAGCCCCAGCAGGCAGCCACTTGAGGGAGAGACCTCCATGAGATGCTCTGTGGTGAGCTGGGAGTGAGCAGAGTGCAGCAGGGTGTGCTGCACCTCTGCTGGGCACCCTGCACTCAAATACTGAGGCTGTCTCCTCAAACTACCCTGATTTGGGTTTGGAAAACAAACAAACAAACAAAACAAAACAAAAACAAAAAACAAAACTTGATTCTGCTACTAGACGCAGGTAAAAACCCAGTCATGAAGGAAGGGGGGATTTTAGTATAGCTCCTCCATTTTTAAGAAAGCAAGTTTTGGTGTCAACTTCGATGACACAATTTCCTCAGCCATGATATGTTGGACTGAAGTTTTCACGTTGTATCTTCACTTAATTTTAAATCTAAAATGATTAATCCTCCTGCTGCTGGACTCAGATCTTCATTTCAGAGATCAAGGAGATCTCCCTTACTTGGGAGAGAGCTGTATATTCCTCCTGCTGACACGTCTACTCCCACTTAGACCTCAGCAGAAGAACAGCATGGAGTTGCATGTCTTCTGCAGCAAGGACAGGAACCGACAATTTCCTATACTGTGGTGATTTTACCGTGCTGGGCAGCTAAACCCCACAACTCCTTTAGATGAGGAGGGGGAGAAGTAAAGCAAAGAACAACTCACGGGTTGAGATAAGGATAATTTAATTAAAGGGAAATATTTATAATGATTAAATAAAGACTACCATGAACTAGACAATTTAACTAAGGGGAAATAAAAAGGGAAAGGGGAAAAGGGAGGGGAAAAGGGAAAATAAAAAGAAGGGAGGAAAACAAACAAACAAAATAAATGAAGGCTATATGGAAGTGCAGAGGAAAGAAATTACTCTCTACTTCCCACAAATGAGCGATGATTGACCACGTCCTTGAAGCAAGGCCTCAACGCACGCAGCCGGTGTTCGAGAGGAGGACCAATGTTTTCCCGAGAGCCCACCCCTCCCCTCTTCTTCCAGTTTCCACCTTTTATTGCTGAGTGTGACATCACATGGTATGGAGTATCCCTTTGATTGGTTTAGGTCAGCTGCCCTAGTGATGTTTCTCTCCTCACTTTTTGCCCACCCCCTAGGAGGGTTAGAGAAAGGCCTAATACTGTGCCACTGCTGCTCAGCAGTAGACACAACACTGGTGTGATAACACTGCTGTTCCAGCTACAAGTACAGAGTATGGCACTGTATGGGCTGCTGCCGGGAAAGTTAACATTCCAGCCAGACCCAGAACATATACACATTTCCCTTTTTTTTTTTTTTTTTTAATTATTTCCCCATTTTTTCAACCAAACAGCAGCACATCCCTTCCACTGCACCAAAGTCTCCACGCTCAAGTCCATGTCACTTAAATCCCCTCAAGGCAAGTGACCTTCTCCGTGTATGTCTGATGCCATCACACCTGCAGGGTGCTGAGGCTGAACCTGCAAAGGGCAGCATGCTGCTGGTGAAGAGGCAATAGGAAGAGGCAGAACCAGTGGGGAAAATAGCTCTGGCTTCACCAAGACTAATTGCACACAACGAGCTGTGAACTCTGCTCGTGTTTCTCAAATCTTCCATGCATTTATCTCGGTCATCAGCATGGCCTTTCTCAGAGAAGCTGGGATGTTCTGGGAATGGCTCAAGAGGAGGAAACTTCCTCTGACCTCACCAGCATGTCCTGGAGCAGAATAAGAGGCGTTTGGGTTGCTGGTCAAGGCTTTCTGGTTTGCCAAGTGGCAACTTGCTTTAACTCCCATAAACACGCCAAATCCCTAGAGGTGGGGAAAGAAGAGGAGGAGGAAAAGAGCAAAGAAGTGATGGAAAAACAAGAACGTGAGGTCTCTTGAGCACCCAAGAGTGACCGAGTACTCATTTGCAGTAAACCATTTCAGTGCCAAATTTTCCATTAGCCTCCCTCTCTCCTGAGGCTTTTCTGGGAGTTATTTTTAACTCACATTGCTGTTTTAAGGTGGTTACCCATATCCTTGCAAGCAGTGTTACCAGCCCCACCACGAGGTCTGGGGTGAAAGAGGAAGAGTAACCAAGAGAGGAAGAGGAATGAGTCTTTAGTTTGGCTTGGGCTGGCTGGGCCACCAAGAGTGTTATAAGTTGCCCCCTTGATTAATTTTCAGAGGGCATTGCATTAATAATAGGAAGGAATTTATTGAGTAAGCAACAGCAAGCAAAACAGCGCTGGGCGGCCGGGGAGTCTCGGCTCCACCAACGGCGCACACCTCACCCCCGCCAGGGTCCCTTTTTATATCTTGGTAATTCCGGGATTACGCAGCACATCCTGGTATATTCTGTGACTGCGCGCACTGTTGCTAGGGGGTCGTCTCTGTTCCTCTGGTGGTCGTGAAGATGAAGGCCATAGTCTTCCTCGGCGTTGTGGTTCAACTTTTTTTTTTTTATTTGGTCATGTTGGCCCAGCGTGAGACAGGAAGGCAGGATGTTGATACACTAGTTTAGCAATTTATCAGGAGATGGTTACATGAGGTTTGCAGCAGGGTCTTTAAACAAAAGAGGCAACTGAGATGCAGAAGGAGAGAAGGGGGGGGGGGTTCTCTTTTTTGTTACATTAAGCAAAAGAATTTTCATAGTGTCTAGCCAAGCATTATACTGCTCCTTCCTTCAGCAGGGAGTTTTCACAACTCCTGTTCCTCAAACAGAACTCCTTGTTTTTACAAAAGACAATGAACAAACATTTATTGTGTATTACAAAGAGGAAAATCCAAATGGGGATGGAAATGCCTTTTTACAAGAATATTTGGAAACTGCCAGGACCCTCTGAGATGGGCTCAGCCCTGTCTCTGTACATCTGCACCTAATGTCAAGGCCACTGGCTGTTCCCACCAGTGTCTTGTTGCATTGTGCGTGTTTGTACTGTTTCTCATGCAATGAAGCTCTCCTCAGAGCGACACATTTTTCCTTGTGCGCACTACACAAGGGAAGTGCTGGACCTTGTTAGCACATTTCAATTGCTCTGTGAAACTGCCTTTCCAGGAGGAGCTAATATCCAGCATCAAAACTGGGAATAGCTTATCTTGCAAAGGAACAAGAGGGGGAAACGTCCTTGACTGTATGGAGTCAGTGCTGTTCAGCTCTTTGCACTGAGCCCTGCCTTGGCAGTGGTGAAGGACATCACTCTTCATGTTCTGAAGCTTAGTTCGCAGAGTTTCCTTCATGCTTGGTGACAAGCAGAGAGGACCTGCGTGAAGAAGAGAAGCTGGCTCCGATGGCAGCAGCCCATGCCTTTGAAGCAGGGAGAGCTGCTTTTTCCCCATCTGTCACTGGTGACTTTCTGAGCAACTGTGGCATGCAGGGGGGTGACAACCACTGAGACCCAGTCGAGCACTTTGCTACAGCGATGTTGTTTCCAGATTTACTGCAACAAAAGCAGGGAAGTCCAGCATAGTGTCCTTCCCAGACAGTGAATGACTACTGTGAACACCCCCCAGCAGCAGGATTG